TCAAAAATTCATATATTTTATGTCCTTTCCTCCCATTCTCTTATTCCCATGGCATAAAATATAAGAACGTATATGTGAATGTATATAATTAATAAAGCCCTTCGTTTGGAGCCTGGCCTAATCGCCATAAGAGCACACCCCAAAAGTACATATGTTTAATTACTGGCTAAAGCTTCTCTTCTCTTCAGAAGGCTTGGCACAGATGTCACTTTTTGACTCCTTTCAGTCAGAAAGGAAACTACAACTTACAAAAGAAATAAGGCAAATGGGTTTTTCCACCAATGCTCTCTTGGCGATGGGGCATGTCGGTGCTAAAGCAGCACTCAAACAAAGAACCTGGGACATAGAACATCAAGAGCATATGAGCCAGTCAGGCAAATACAGTGTTTTTACTAATAATGCCTTTAAAATATCTTTATATTTGACAAGAACAAAGACCAAAAGAGCCTTCACATTAGCAAGACTTAATGTTTTACCCTTTAAGCTCATGGAGGGAAGATTTCAACATATACCTATCTCGGATTGCCTGTATCCATGTAATGATGGCCAAGTGGAAACTGTAGGTCATGTCTTACTGTACTGTCTTTTCTATAGAGATCAACACACCAACCTCCTGAGCCCAATCATTCTCAGATATCCAGGGAGACCTGGTAAATGTTACATCAAGCTACTTCTTTCCAATCAAGACTCCTTTATTACATGCCCTGCAGCAGAATTTTGTGCAGCAGCTCCCTTATAGTCTCCTGAGTTCACAGGTTGACTGGTTATAGCATGAGGGTGGTTTATTGTCGAACGTAAAGAAATGTTGTGGTCCCAACTGAAGGGAGGAAATATTTACAAATCTTTACAAATATGTAGGAAGGACTCCCTATAACCCAAAGACCCTGTCCAAACCAGTTTACCCCGACTTTTGTGTTTCCTCTTTAATGTGGCATTTGCAAACATTAGATTGACGGTTCTAGTTCGGTGGGGTTCATACTTTCAGGGTCATCCCTGAAATCTTTACAGGCAATCTTAACAGATAAAAAAGTCGAAACATAGCCTTTATTTGGTCATGAGATAAAGTGGGTAAGAGAGGCTGCTTTAGTATCTCAGTAGTTTATAGAATTTTAAAATTAACAATGCAAGGCTACAAATAAATTGTTCAATAATATTTATTTAAGGTTGTTGTATTTCAGATCTCAAAATCTGAGCTGCAATATAATGCAAATTATTGATAGTCTGTCTACTTTCCATATTATGCAAATTTGCCTGTGGAATAGCATAGAGCCAAGGATGTAGTTCCTAATGTTTGTGGTTGTATGATCAGCCTGGTTCCTGATAGCTTTCAGAGAAAATCATTCCTTTCAGTGACCTTTTGCTTTGTGTTTTGGCACCGTTTCTTGTAGATACTATACAATGCAAACTAACAACTTGGTGTTGGATGCCCTTCCAAGTAACCTGAATTTTCTGAGATGCCTCTTTTTTTCTCAGGTGAAAAGCACATGTTGAATATTAGTAGAGTTGGGTTTATGTTGAATTACATTGTGCACAAGGTTCTTCTAATGCATCTGGAGGTCTTCCACCACCTGAAAACTGAGACTGAAAAGCAAGTATAAGCTTGCCAGCATCAATGAAAATGTTGGTTCCTCGAGGGAGCAGTTGATCATTGGTAGATGTTTTAAAAAACACAGTGTTTGATCACCCCAAACGTATAAATTTGCTCAGACTTTAATTCCTTTTCTTTTGCTAGATTGCATCATCCTGAGAGTGACAGTTACTATGTGACTCAAATGTAGTAAATAACTAAATAAGTAGCTTACGCTGAAGATCTGAGTGAAAGCAGATATATAATTATCTGGGTCTTATTCTTTGCTTTATTGGATTTGCCATCCTAATAATTAGCAGTCAGATGTACAGGAGCAAATGATTATCCAAATTAGCTTAAAATAGCATTCCAGTATATGTAATCTTTTGGGGTTTCACTTATTTACCTTTTCCCCCCTTTTAATTAGTTTAGCACACTGTTCTGGCTAGCTTTACAAATTTGGTTTGCATTTTTAAATCTATTTGTTAGTAGAAAATGAAGTACATCTTTTTGTTCTTCCTTCCTCCTTTTTTTAAAAGGAAATTTATTTTTATCGCTTATAGCTCTTGCAACAAAGAAATGTGTGTAAGCATAAATAACAAATAGTTCAGGAGCAAAGAAAAAGGAAACAAAATGTAAAAAATGAAGTGTACATTTATTATCTCATCTTGATAAATGTTTATACAACAAAAAGAAGAAAATCTCAGACCCTTGGGAATCTCACTGTCAAAAAGCCCAGTTGTTTTTAATTAGGCTTCCATGTGAAATACTGTACACTTTTCTCGTTCTTTCTTTCTTTCTTTCTTTCTTTCTTTGTTTTCTTTTCTTTTATTTAATTAATGTTGTGGGAAAATAAATTGTACATTTTCCGGTTGGTGTAGTCAAGATCTACGTATGATCAAGTTTTGAACAAAAACAAAACTGGCTGAAATTCTTTTGGACTTGGCATGGCTCAAAGTTTTGCCTGTGTAAATTCACGGGGAGTTAAGCCTAGGTAGTCTGCTAATCTGATTGTGCATTTATAGGATGTTACCACACACTAACAATTTGCGAGTACTAGCCATGCACTGAACTACAGTGGTGCCTCGCATAGCGAGGTTAATCCGTTCCGGATTAACCTTCGCTATGCTGAAGCATCGTTGAACAGGGCAGGGATTTCCATTGGAACGCATTAAACATGGTTTAATGCGTTCCAAATGGGCCAAATACTCACCGTTCAGCGAAGCTTCGTAATGGCCGGCAGCCATTTACGCGCCCTCGCCACGCTTAACGACGGCGTGAAAACGCTGCGCACGGCCATTTTGGGCCATTTCCGGGCTTCCGGCGGCCATTTTGGCCACCGAACAGCTGATCGTCGGGCTTCGTTTTGCGAAGATCGGTAAGCGAAACGCTTACCGGTCTTCGCAAAGCGAATTGTGCCCTATAAGAAAAACGTTAAGCGATCGCATTAGCGATCAGAAAAAACGGATCGCTATGCGATTTCGTCGTTATGCGGTGCGCTCGTTAAGCGAGGCACCACTGTATTTCTTGGATAAGACTTCCACCTTGGTGAAAATTTGGCTGTGGCTTATGTAGCAGGATTTTGGCCATTAACTTAATTGTGTTTTCAAAAACCACAATTAGATGTTAGGCAGGACCGCCTATATGATCATACTGAGAATATGGGATTAATGCAAAAGTGAAAACCACACACTAGATTGAATGTACTGGTTCTAAATTATTTCTTACACCCAGAAAGATTCACTGTGGCATGCCATGCATATAAAAAAGTGGAGTGAAATTTTAAAAAAACTGCAAGTGATTTTAGAAAGAATATTGTCTTTTATTCCATAAAAACAAAAAGATTTGGTACTTTCTCCTTAGAGGTTTTGTATCCCATTCTCACAAAAAGAAAGAAAGAAAGAAAGAAAGAAAGAAGGAAAAAAGGAAAAGAATCAGATTGTATATACTGTACATTTCTAATAATATGAGAAGCTCAGAACTGAGTACAGTTTCTTTACCTGAAGGCAACCCATATCAAGTCCATTTACAGCCTGTAGTGTATAGATTATTTTGAATTCAGTCCTAATCATCATTATTCAGAAGCAGGTTTTGCTGATTTAAGTGGTAATTACTTCTAAATAAATATGCTCAGAAGGGCAGCTTTGGTCTTTTGTGGTCTTGAGTCTTCTGATTTGGCATCCACAGTAAATCCTAGAATTAATTCTACCATGGTCCTGCTAGGACCAATGGCACTAGCAGTCTAGAGTGACAATTTCCTTGGATCCATAGCCAAAACCTTGGTGGGCAACGCAAACCTTATGAGCTTCCTGTAGTTCCCTGTACATTTTCAGGCCCTTGGTGCATCCGGGCTCCTGGTCCTTAGCCATGTGAAAAAACCTTTTCCCCTGAAAAAAATAAACATCTGGCACTTCTGCAAAGGTCTCAGAGCACCAGTTTCCTTCTAATACGTCTGTGTTTTTTATCTTCATCCACCCAAATGGTTTTATTTTTAAACGAAATTGGAAGTGAGGGACAGTCTACAGGAGATCCAACAGCATAAAATTAGCTCTCAGACTCCAAGAGCATGGTTTACATTCATTTGTGTTGTACTACTAATCTAATTTACTGGCTCAAGTCCACACAGTCTGAATACTGCTATTGCTCATAAAAAAGATCAGAAAATTAGGCATTCTTGGAAGTCACAGTTCAAGAGTACTGTATGTTTTAAAGTGTTGTATATAAAGAATTCACATATCTATATGAAGAACTATTATTTAAGCAGATATGCAGCGTACAATAGAACCCCCATATCAACAGGGTTAATATCTGCAGTTTCACTTACCTGTGGCCTGAAAATATTAAAAATAATTAAAAGAAAAAATAGAAATACATGTTTTCATGATGTATCTACCAGAACTGGCCACTAGAGGGAGCGTGAGACCATGCTACATATTCTTGTTGGTAAAGAATGCATAGCATGATGTCTGGCTTCCTCTAGTGGCCAGTTCTGGTAATACATGGTGAAAATACATATTTTTGGGGTTTTTTTTCTTTTACCATGTTAGGTATAGTGTTCACTATTACAGGTATCTGTGTTTTTCAGCATCCACAGGGGGAGATTAGAACCAATCCTCCATGGATATGGGGGTCCTGCTGTATCACATATAGCTGCAAATTTGTTGCTTAGATCTGTGTCTGAGTGAAACAAATTATATATTGTGCATTTTCATCTCAATGTGGGGGTGGAGTTTTTTTAAAACAAGTAGAAAAAGATCGCACCTATTGTGTTCAAATGTTTACAGTTCTGTTTGGAACAAAACAGTCTATGCCAACCTGTATTTAATGTTTCAGTTCATTCAGCCTGCAGTAAGATAGGTGAGTAGAAAACAGAAGTACAAACTCAGATTTTTAAAATCAAATAAACAAAATTATTTGTATTTTATCTATTAAGGTGAGTTCTTGGGTGACATGGCTGATTCTGACTGCGGGCTCTATGGAAGAAAAACGAGAAGTCTTCTCCTATGCAGTTCATGTGGCCAAATGCTGCTGGAACATGGGCAACTACAATGCTGTCATGGAGTTCTTGGCAGGGCTCAGGTACTTGCAGCTCATTCTTCACAGAAGAATCCAACATAGATTAAATTGCAGCTTCTGTTACACACAGCTGTCCTTCTTAAAAAAAAACTCCAAGCAGCACTCCATCAGTCACTGTACTAAACAGTGTGTTGTTGCTAAGTTGCATCATTTATGTTGCCCAGCAAGTTTATGGTAACAGTTTTGAGAAAACTGAATAAAATGGATGACAGAGGTTAAATTTGGTGAAAAACAGGTCTTTTCTCAGAATACTCTAGAGACAATGTCATTTATCTTTCTAAAATATACACAAGTTAAATGGGAAACATAAACATGCTTAAACCAAAAACAAAGCATAATTCTTTCTTTCTAATGGAAAGAGCCAATCTAGCAATGAAAAGGAAGGACATATTACTGTACATAAATAAAGATTACTTCTTGCCAACCCCCAGATATTAAAAATCCCCACTCATTTTCATTATAAATATTGTCATTATGAACATTAATTAGTTGCTGGGTTTTTTTGTTTCCTTACTCACCTGCACCCCAATCCCCTGTAGCGTGCATACTGGGGAACTGCAATAGCATCATACTGAGCATAGCCCAAGAAAGAAAAGAGGTAAGCAGGCATGGGGAGGAGAGAGGTATGGTCTAAAAGGTGTAGCAAAAAAGTAAAAGAAATCCAATACTGTAATTTCAAATATTTGCACTTGGTCTCATAACCATTCATTGTATTTGCAGTTTTTCTTATATCCATTCTATAATCCCTTGATCCCATCTTCTGTACTTGGAAGGGATTTTGTTTCACAAGTTTGTAATATTAGGCATATTATCTACTGATGAAGTCATATGAAGAGCATTCATCTGTAGTAGGAAGAGTTGGCCAGCGCTCATATCTCCAGTCCAACACCACCTTCTGTTCACGTGCCAATCTTTCGAAAGGCTAGACTTAATAACAACGAACATTCTCCCATTGGCTTATGCTTTGGTTTTAATTTATTGCACACATTTTAACCTTGTTTATGGATTAATTATGTGGGCAAAACTAATCAGTGGATGAGAGTCAGGAAGGGCAGGACACAGATGCTGTGGTTTTACTACCTTACATGTGCTCCCCCTATACCAACACTATATATAAGGGTTTATAGTCTTTGATACTGGAGGATGTATAAATCCTGAAAGACTGGATAATATCGCCCATTGTTTGTCTCTGCTAGGGTGGGTCTCTTTTGTAGTTAACAAAAGTGGGTTTTTTATTTTTATAGATTTGATTTTTGCAAATCTAGAGACTTTTAAATACCTAGAATTAGATATTATAGTGTTTCACCAACACATAAAAGTAACAGGTGCGTTTCAAATAAAGGAGCTGTGCAAGCATGTCACCAAGGCTTTCTTTGTATTTTCACTACATCTGTAGTGCCACCAGCTAGAAGCATGCTCCTGCAAGTAGCTTGTCTGATTTTAAGGGTGGTTTTGAACAGAGGAATCCTGGGCCGAACTAAAATGGACCCATTGAATCAACAGAACTTGTAGAAATGTTGAACTCTAACTGGGTCTAAGAATTGCATTTAGACCCTAGAATTTCCAGTCAAAATATGTTATGCAACGATTCCATCTTTTTCTCTGTAACAGTTTTTTTAGGGGGGGAAGAAAAAAACAGTAGAAAATTACAAGATAGTTACAGTATAAATGGAAAATGATTTATGATAGACTCACAGAAAACTCTGGAATAAGGCACAGCTATTGAATGAAAAAAGTACCCTAAGACAATATCAATTTCACTTTCATTATTAATTAAATTACATAGCATTTATTAAGTCTCAATTCCAGACTGAGAAAAAGAACTCTAATTTTAAAACTCAACTAGTTTTAGGAAGAATTTTCAGAAATCCAGGTTTTACTTCTTTTGCATATTGAACTTCATCCATAATTTGATTAGCTGTATCACTTTATTAAAAAAAAATGGTAATGAACTTTGAGTGCAATCCATCCAGCTGTACTGTAACAAATTTGGACTGCTTAACTTTAGTTTAACATGTGTTCACTCTTCTTTCTCCAAAATAGATCAAGAAAAGTGTTAAAAATGTGGCAATTCATGGACCAGTCTGATATTGAAACGATGCGAAGCTTGAAAGATGCTATGGCACAACATGAATCGTCTTCTGAATATAGAAAAGTGGTCAACAGAGCTCTCAATATCCCAGGCTGTAAAGTTGTTCCTTTCTGTGGTGTGTTTTTAAAAGAACTCTGTGAAGTTTTGGACGGAGCTGCGAGTCTCATTAGACTATGTCCTCAATATAACTCTCAAGATGAAACACTGGAGGTAAATTAATAAAAAAAAAGACCATTATTATCTCTAGGGACTATAATAATTACTGCATTAATTTATAATTGGGTGCATATTAAAAAGGACATATAGTTTTACAGTTACGTGGTAAACAAATGAAGAAAATAGAGGTCCCTAATGTTGTATTAACCTTTTGCAAGGTTGTTGATATTGGATCTAGACCATTTTGGACTAGATGGTTGGAGAACTACAGGTGCTTCTCTACAGTTTTATTTGTAGTGCTTCGTTCATTGGCTTCTGTAAATACTCAATGCCAAATTCCCATTCATTGTTAAGATTACCACTGGTACAATTGCAATCTAAGTTATATAATACCTAATAGTTTGTCAGTGTTTGGTGTTGGGAATGTAGACTGTGATCCAGAGATCTGCTTAAGTTCATGTAAGAGGCTTGTGGCAGCTCATTGGTTTAAAAAAAAATTGTACGCTCTTTGTTTTTGTTTGAAAAGTTTGCATGCTGACCCCCCCCCCCCCAAGGGAATTGTGTTAGTGGGGAAAAACAAAGCAAATGCTCCCTTTGGCTTTTGGAACAATTGCTACGTTTCTTTGGATTCTCTGTTCTTGAATTAGTGAAAATATAGTAGATTAGTTACCACATTCTCACAGTGAAGTACTCTGGTTTTGTGGTTCTTTCTAAAGAAATGTTGCCTTTTAAGTTTTAGGTAAACAGCAGTATCTGTGTTACCAACAGCATAGACCTCTATTGCACAGTGACCTGAACTGAAGGGTGGTAGGTAAAGCAGAATTAAAGTTTGATACCCAAAGTGTTGATGGCTATCTTGTTAAAAATTATCACTTGCATCTTAAAGTGCAGCTTTCATTTTTGAAAAGATAAAATAGTTTGTTCCGCTTATAGGCTGCATCCTAGATGTCTAAAGAATCTAGCATTTGCTTTTTTTTCCAAACGATAAATCCCTTAATTATAAAAGGGGACATTGATAATAACCTTAATATATCAATGGTGTGATCCTGTGACATATAACTGAAATAAACCTTTGATCCTATTATTTTAGTTTACTTCCAGGGAAGTCTGTTCAGAATTGCAGCAAAAATGTATTTAGATACATGAGTCAAGCTTATTGCCCTCAAGTCATGTTTTCTTTTTCCTTTGGGGGTAGCGCTTCCCAGAGGTTTATATTTCCCACCATAGAAAGCATAATGCTGGAGTAGCTAGTCCTTTAATGTGATCCAGGAAGGCCATTCTTAGTTCAGCACAGAATGACAGAAGTTACATCAGGAGATTGCAAAAGATGCAGAATGCGGTGGCCAGACTGGTGTTGGGTGTGAACAAGTTTGATTGCATCTAGCCAGTTCTGGCTCACCTGCGTTGGCTTCCTGTTGCTTTCAGGGCCTGGTTGAAAATTTTGATTTTAGCTTATAAATCCCTTAACAGTTTATTTATCAGCGTGTCTTTCCCTCAGAACATCAGCCCATGCCACCCACTCTTCACAGGCCTTGCTTCTTTGGGTGGCCACACTGAGAGAGATAAAAATGACTGTTAATCAGAAATCATGCCTTCTCAGTCATGGCCCCATCCTTATAGAGTGGGTGGGCTCCTGCTAGAAGGACATCTGACCCCCTCCCACCCACCTTTTGACAGGATTTTAAAGCATTCAAGGTTGTCGTCTTTTAAGTTAGTTTATATTTGTGATTCCTGATTCCACCTCCATCTGAATTTCTAATTATGGTTTGTGATTTATTCGTGGGTGCTAACATGAGTCTGCTTTGGGGTCAATGGGTTATTGTTTTTGCTCTAAACTGCTTAAAGTACTTCCCTACACTAAGCTGAGCAGTATATAAGTACTTTAAATAAATACATGCTATCTTTTTAATTAATTCATTACGTACTGTGCAAGTTCAACTAAGCATAGAACATGTAGCAATATGCCTGTATGTGTGTCAAGCAGCAGAATTTGAGATGGTTGTTGGTGTTTTGGTTATTAAGTACAATATTTGCCTGAAAACATGGTAGTAGTTCTGTATTCGGTAAGACACACTTCTGAGTGCAGAAGGTTAAGACTGCGCTGTAAAGTAGACCTTGCAGGATTTCAGCTGGTAGGAAGCATTACAGGATGATCTGCGATACTTGCTTTGCTCAAGATGCTGCTGTAGCTGCCATAGTATTTAACTTGTGGTCACCTAAGCATTGTTAAATTTCAGTTTTCAGTGCTTATGTGCTTTTTCTTTCCCAGTTTGTTGCAGAGTACAGTGGACAAGATCATTATTTACAACGGATAGGGCAAGATGGCATACATGATGTGGAAAAGGAATCAACAGCCAATTATATATTTCAAACGATTCGGAGCTGTAATCGCCGTTTAGAATCTGACGATGCGGAAGACAATTTTATTGAATATGATGGTGTGAATTCCCGGAGAAATTCTTTGAAGGACAGAAATCGCTATCAGTAAGGTTTTAAAAGTTCATATATATATATGTGTGTGTGTGTGTGTGTGTGTATATATATATTTAATCAGCAAGAGGAAGTTACCAAAAAAATGGTAACAAAACCATGAATTTTGAAGTTGTTGTTTCTTAATATTTTTTTACTTACCGTAGTTGAGGTTATTTGCCATTTATCCAGATTTGGTAATATAGCAAAATGTCAAAAACTTTCCAGACTCATTCTGATAATCTCACTGGAGAGGCAATCTGCAATGCCCAGCTCCAAGGGTCACTTAGGATTGCTCCCATAACACTAAACTACAATGTAGCATGCATCCTATCAACCCATTGTGTCTATGTTATATTTTCCTCCTCTATCTCAATGTGCTTGCTGTAAAAAGATTATTAATGGTGAGAGCATTTAATTTGAATGTACTGGGCTGATTCCAGTTCCAGACTTTTTCTCAGAGTTATGCATGGAATTATGACACTCAGATGTTTGGAATCCTTCTCGTTAAGTTTTATGTTCCCTCATGATGTAATTACTTCCAGGCAAATCCTTTTCATCTAGTGCATGAAGCTTGTAGAAACCTACAGATGCAACTGGAGACTTGGTCAGTGATTCCAGGAATAGCATCATGGCATCTTTGTTGATCTTAGCTCAGAACATTATATCCTGTTGGAATAGCATTCTGAACCAGTCAAAATAAAGGTTATTTATTATTGTTCCTAATCCCACTACTTTTAAGGACATGTTCACTGAGGTTCATAAATTATCTTAAGGAAATCTTATCAGAACTAATAAACTCTTTGAATATTCACCATACAGCACAGTCATTTAGCACAGGTGGCATTTTAATTATGATACATGGGAAAGCTCATCTCTGACCTCAGATCCCTATTTCTACCCGTGCAAAAAGAAAACTACTAAATGTCCGGAATGCTATGCACTTAAATGAATGCTATATAAGAGCAGTGGAAGCTATGGGACAATATCAGGAAGATTCTGTGATTAGTAGATTCAAAAGAGGATCAGAATTGCTGTTTTAGCTCTTCAGAGAGGATATAGCCATGGCAAGTGGTACCTTTATTAGGCTATTGAAAAATCATGAACATAACCTAGTTTTTGACCTCATACAGGTTTTCATCAGGTTGGGCACCAAAGAGTTGTGTGTTCGTGGTGCAGAACAAATACAGAAGTTCCAAAAATCATGGTTATTTGTGCCAGGCTGCTCTGTCTAAAGCAAATGTCAAAGTGGATGTGGATTAGAATGTGTCTTCCAATCTTGTTAGTCACGTGGACTCAATATCTATAGGGTCCCTTCCAGCTCTGCAAGTAACTAAGCGAAATGAAACAGATGCCAATCATTTAGTATCCTCCCAGGATCCCCTTGTATTGAAACACATAACCCTTTTTCAGCTGAGAATAGAGACACACAGAAGTGTTTATATTTTTTCCACAGAGCGGGGAGAGGTTGCTGAATGACTGGCAACTAGAGATGGGGATGAAGCACCAAAATGGTGCTTTGTCTTCCTTTGTAGGTCATCAAACTTGTTGACCCATGAACTATAAATTGCCCCCCATGAACCAACAAACAATGAATTAATTCGTCATTCATCGGGGGGGTGTGGTGTTTTGTTTTTTTTTTTTTTTTTTTTGGGTCATCAAACTTGTTGACCCATGAACTACAAATTGCCCCCCCATGAACCAACGAACAATGAATTAATTCGTCATTCATGGGGGGGGTGTGGTGTTTTGTTTTTTTTTTTTTGCTTTCCCTTCTCTTGCTATGCCCTGGGACATAGCAAGAGGAGGGAAAGCAGGGATCAAAGTGATCCTTCAGTGCTTTGATCCCTCTCCCCCTCCTTTTACTAAGCCCCGCGAAGCTTAGTAAGAAGGGGAAAGCAGGGAACAAAGTGATCGTGCAGCAAAGCCACCCCAAGGGAAAAGCCCTCTCTGCTTATGCCCCCGAGGAACAGCTCATCCGCAGGGGCATACGCAGATAGGGAACAAAGTGATGATTATAAAAGGGTTATATTTATTGCTTCGTATTCGTTGGGGGTCTCTGGACAAAGCAACAAATATCTGACAAATGAGGGATATTCAATGAATATCTTGATTCATTTTTATATTCGTCCCCATGTCTATTGGCAACCCTTTGCCTACCAAGAAATATTCTAATCCACACCAGCAGAGCTGACCTATAGCTCTGACATGCAGCCTTCCAGCTAGAAACATGCTTTTCAACAAAGGAGCATGGCACATAAGCTGGCCATGATTTCTGGAACTTTTAAGTTTCTTATTTGTACCACTGCTCACATTTGTGGTGCCCAGCCTGATGAAAACTGGAGTCTTCATTAGGCTAAGTGGAGTCAAAGACTAGCTTATGTTTGTGTTTTTTTTAGTGGTCTAATAAAAGTGTCACCAGCCCTTACATTTGGGCTATGTAGAAGCACCACATAGCTTCTTCTTCTTCTTCTTCTTCTTCTTCTTCTTCTTCTTCTTCTTCTTCTTCTTCTTCTTCTTCTTCTTCTTCTTCTTCTTCTTCTTCTTCTTCT